CTTTGGAGAGGGCATCCAGGGGCCTCTTTGAAGCCGTGTACAGACGTCGATAGTGTCTCTTTATTTTGTTCCCTGCCCATCGTCCTCTTTCTCCTGACAATCTAACCTGCATTTTCTTTGGGAAATAACTCCCTGCTGGCTCTCAGGCCTGGTCTTGCCCTGTATTTGATGCACACCTGACCTTAGGAATGTGCACGTGATGTGACTGGACCAGTGAGACTTGACCCTGGGACTTTGCTGAATCTCTGGAGGAAAAGAATCTCTTTGGTTGGATTTGAAGCTGTAAAGGTGTAAGCTTAGAGCTGTCCTCATGGGACAGGAGACTCAGGGAGGGAGCGGGGTGAGGGGCTGAGACAGACAGACACACACTCCTTTATCGTGTGAGTTGAGTCTCTGGATCGATTCCTGGACTTTTCAATTTTTTAAGCCAATAAGTTTCCCTTGTTTTGTTTAAGTTCTTTTGAATTGGATTTTCTGTCATTTGAGGCTCTAAGAGTCTCTCATTCCTCTGAAGAATACTATGTACTTACGTATTTTAAATCCTGCAAATGATTCAGGGGTTTACAGATGAGTAGAGGCCCACTGAACAGAATTAAATGCTTTACTCTGTTCAATTATTATCAGTAAGATTTGCCCCACAAATGTAGATTCAGTATGGTTATCATTAACTAATTTATAATGGTCATTCTTGGGACAGTTTGATCTTTATTACAAACATACGTGTAACATTTTGGTTTTTTTTATTGTAGATGAGGGGAATGGGACATTTTTATTAATGCCTTTTAGATTAATCGAGGGTTAACCCATTTATCTCCTTCAGCTTCTTTCAGTAAGGATATCCTTTTGGACATGTTAGGATTCCATTTTATTCATTATCTGTCTCTATAGGCTTATAAATATTCTTGCCAACCATAAATCTTAGATCTAGGAATCAAGCCCATGAACCATAAAAGCAACATAACTTGCCAAAGACTGCATAAAATAAAATATGAAGTCGTCCCTGGCTCTAGCTAAGTTAAGTAACTTGAAGAAAAAGGAAAATGGTTTTGCTAATTTTGTCATTAGGAGTAGGCTTCCAATTCAGTAGAAAATGATGGATATTTTAAAATTTAATTCAATAAAAACTATTTACTAGAAGGCAACATTAAAAATACTAGGGCAGGGGCTTCCCTGGTGGCGCAGTGGTTGAGAGTCCACCTACCGATGCAGGGGACGCGGGTTCGTGCCCCGGTCTGGGAAGATCCCACATGCCGCAGAGCAGCTGGGCCCGTGAGCCATGGCCACTGAGCCTGTGCTCCGCAACAGTGAGAGGCCCACGTACCGCAAAAAAAAAAAAAAAAAAAAATACTAGGGCAGTTGGGAAGTACTTGCTCTGATAAAAAGATTTCCAAGGGCACTGTGACATCTGCCCTCTGGGTTGAGTTAGTGAGGCTGGCCACAGAGAGGGTGATTATTTCTTTCTGGGCACTGCACGTGCCATGGATGGAGCTTCTCCCAGGCACACACTGATGCTTGTTTGGGTTACATAGAACAAAAAAGTTGGATTATAATCACCTGTGGAGAGCTGAGACTGTGCCTGAATTCAGTCTACTAAATTTCTTGTTTTCTGTAGAAAGAGACATTTCCTAAGAGAATAATACCAACTCATTTCTAGTTAGTAGGTAGAAGAAAAGGAGTAAGAGTAAAAAGGTTGGATTGAAATTGAGTCCCAGACCACATTCCCTATGCTCTGGTCATGTGTTCCTTGATATTGGTCTGATGTTCTCAGCCTCCATGCTTTTTTATCTTATTCTCTATCTAAAATACCATTTATGATTTAGTTTTAAATTATGTAATTTATGAATTAGCACTAATTAGCATTAGTATATGAAGTCCTGTACTCTAATGCAGCTCACATTCCAAGAAGCTTTTTGAGGCATTATAGTCAGACTTAATCTCTTCCCACTTATGAACAAGCATCCTCCCTTTCTCTGTCCCTCCATTTGTGCAGACTTTATATATTTTTTTCCTAGTACATGCTTTAGGCATTGTAAGTGCTAGTGGGTCAAAGAAGAACAATGTGCCACTCCTGCCCTCTGGTGGTTGAAAGAAACATTGCAAACAAGTGACTATAAAGATCTGTGTGCTATGACTCTTCATCAGCCTTGGCATCATCCGTTTCTTTCATTCCTGCTGCGTTTATTCATTCACTGATTGGCCATTCATGTAATGAGCATCTTCTGTATGACAGCCTTTATCAGTACTCTAATGGTGCCTTGTCTGGTGTAGCAGCATTCTGGGCTTCAGTAGCAACAGCTTACACATGTGAGGTCTTTCAAATGGAATTACAAAGGCATGCTTTCGCTGTGTCTAGATCTGACTTTCTGCCTCCCTATTTGGGTTGCCAAGTGTTTTCCTATCTGCATCTAACATTTCTAGGCCTGCTGAGCTTCAAAGTGGTTGTACATGTGATGGATGAAAAATAAAGAAGTATTGTACCTTAGTTTTCTCTTGCTGCCTGACAAATTACGTCGAAATTTAGCAGCTTAAAACAGTAAGCATTTAATATCTCAGAGTTTCTGAGAGTCAGGAATTACGGAAGTGACCTAGCTGGGTGGTCTGGCTCCGTCTCTTAGGGGAATGCGGTCAAGGTGTTGGTTGGGGCTGTAGTCGCCTGAACGCTTGGCTAAGGCTAGGATATGCTTCCAAGTCGATCCTGATCGGCGGGAGGCCACAGCTCTTCAGGTCATGGTGCTTGGCTTCCCCCGGAGTGAGCGATTCAAGAGAGAACAAGAGGGAGGCCTCAGTGTCTTCTATGACCTCGCCTTACAGGTGAGGCAAGAGGACTGCGAAGGGCTTGACTGCCAGGAGGTGAGAATCACTAGGGGCCACCTTGTCTGCCGGCCACCACATGTTACAACGCCATGTTTGTGAGCCTCTGTCAGTGAATTTGGGCCCATATGAAGAAGACACTAGTAAATCTTCAAATGGAAGTATTTTAGAGTGAAATAAAGGGTTGAAAAATTAGACCAGCTCATCTTCGCTTTAATTTCATTCTTCATTCCCCTGGGAGAATGCCGATAAGTCCTCAGTGCTCCCAATCTCATGCTTTTAAACGGAGCACTTAGAAATGAGTCTCATGAGAACAAATTTTTATGAATGTGAGACAAACATTTTCATTTTTTAAATCTGTGATCTCTTTCTGTGCCACTCAGTGGTGAGAAGTATTTCTGCAGAGAGGATGCTTAGTGATGGCTGCTTGTTTCTCAAAGATTCTTTGTCACATTACTTACATGTTTTAATTTGAGCAGTGAACACCATTTTGGGTCTACGGTCTGTCAGAACGCTGCTGGCCTCAACAAGGTTGCGATGAAAAATGGCAGATATACAGATGATCGGGTGGTAAGGAAAGTGTGACCACCTCATGCATATGCAGGTTTAAACATTGCTAGGTTACTAGCATGGATGTGAGCAGAGCTGAGAGTAAAGTGCTAGAACAGAATCTTTAGTATTAAGAACATCGGGTCTTTGAAGTAAAATTAGAAAGGAAAATTAAAGTTGCCTCTCCTCTCTGCTACCTTCCCCCCAAGTAATTTTCCTCCCTGTTTTCCATCCCATCTTAATACATGTTTTCATAAGTAAAATCTGTTTTTAGGTTGGTGTGTTCATTTTGAAAGTACAGCAATGCTACTTTCAGCATTGTAAATGGATGGGAAAGGAAAATATGGGAGGATATAAACAATTTAAAATATTAGAATTCTATTGATCTGGTTTTCATGTCATGGTTTCAATACCATTATAGAAACAAATCATATTAGAAATGATATTTCTAGCTGTGCAATTTTATTGATGCTTCTGGTAATAGCCGACTTAGAATACACGTTTCCATGGAATAATTATAATAGCCTATAATGTTTATCTTTAAGGTCTTATTTTGCAGATATGACTCATGAAATTAATATATTAATAAGTTTGTAATCCCCAATGGCAAAAGGATAGATGATAATATATTATACATTGAGATTATTTCCTTTAGAACTTATTTCATTGACCATATTGTATCACATTGATTTGCATATATTGAAGAATCCTTGCATCCCTGGGATAAACCCCACTTGATCATGGTGTGTGATCCTTTTAATTTGCTGTTGGATTCTGTTTGCTAGTATTTTGTTGAGGATTTTTACATCTATGTTCATCAGTGATATTGGCCTGTAGTTTTCTTTTTTTGTGACATCTTTGTCTGGTTTTGGTATCAGGGTGATGGTGGCCTCATAGAATGAGTTTGGGAGTACTCCTCCCTCTGCTATATTTTGGAAGAGTTTGAGAAAGATGGGTGTTAGCTCTTCTCCAACTGTTGGATAGAATTCACCTGTGAAGCCATCTCGTCCTGGACTTTAGTTTGTTGGAAGACTTTTTAATTACAGTTTCAATTTCAGTGCTTGTGATTGGTCTGTTTATATTTTCTGTTTCTTCCTGGTTCAGTCTTGGAAGGTTGTACTTTTCTAAGAATTTGTCCATTTCTTCCAGGTTGTCCATTTTATTAGCATACAGTTGCTTGTAGTAATCTCTCAAGATCCTTTGTATTTCTGCAGTGTCAGTTGTTACTTCTCCTTTTTCATTGCTAATTCTGTTGATTTGAGTCTTCTTTTCTTTCTTGATGAGTCTGGCTAAAGGTTTATCAAACTTGTTTATCTTCTCAAAGAACCAGCTTTTAGTTTTATTGATCTTTGCTATTGTTTCCTTCATTTCTTTTTCATTTATTTCTGATCTTATCTTTATGATTTCTTTCCTTCTGCTGACTTTGGGGTTTTTTGTTCTTCTTTCTCTAATTGCTTTAGGTGTAAGTTTAAGTTGTTTTTTGAGATTTTTCTTGTTTCTTTTTTCTTTTTCTGTTTTTAACTTTTTGTTTTATAAAACAATCATATACTTGTAAAGGAATCTTTATACTTGACTTTACTATTAGTTTTTAATAAACATTATCAAGGGACTATATTAAATTCTTACATTTTCCATATATCAAAAATGTGGAACGCTTTATGAACTTGCATGTCATCCTTGCACAGGGGCCATGCTGATCTTCTCTATATCATTCCAATATTAGTGTATATGCTGCCGAGGCAAGCACTTTTCTTGTTTCTTGAGGTAGGATTGTATTGCTATAAACTTCCCTCTTAGAACTGCTTTTGCTGTTTTGGGTCGCTGTGTTTTCATTGTCATTTGTCTGTGGGTTTTTTGGGGTTTTTTTTTGTTGTTTTTTTTGCGGTACGCAGGCCTCTCACTGTCGTGGCCTCTCCCTTTGCAGAGCACAGGCTCTGGACGCGCAGGCTCAGCGGCCATGGCTCACGGGCCCAGCCGCTCCGCGGCATGTGGGATCTTCCCAGACCGGGGCACGAACCCGTGTCCCCTGCATTGGCAGGCGGACTCTCAACCACTGCGCCACCAGGGAAGCCCTATAGGTATTTTTTGATTTCCTCTTTGATTTCTTCAGGGATCTCTTGGTTATTTAGTAGCATACTGTTTAGCCTCCATATGTTTGTATTTTTTACAGTTTTTTCCCTGTAATTGATATCTAGTCTCAGAGAATCGTGGTTGGAAAAGATACATGATTTCACCTTTCTTAAATTTACCAAGGCTTGATTTGTGACCCAAGATATGATCTATCCTGGAGAATGTTCCATGTGCACTTAAGAAGAAAGTGTATGCTGTGGTTTTTGGATGGGGACTGTCCTATAAATATCAATTAAGTCCACCTGGTCTAATGTGTCATTTAAAGCTTGTGTTTCCTTATTTATTTTCATTTTAGATGATCTGTCCATTGGTGAAAGAGGGGTGTTAAAAGTCCCCCACTATTATTGTGTTACTGTCAGTTTCCCCTTTTATGGCTGTTAGCATTTGTCTTATGTATTGAGGTGCTCCTATGTTGGGTGCATAAATATTTACAAGTGTTATATCTTCTTCTTGGATTGAGCCCTTGATCATTATGTAGTGTCCTTCTTTGTCTTTTTTAATAGTCTTTATTTTAAAGTCTATTTTGTCTGATGTGAGTATTGCTGCTCCAGCTTTTGATTTCCATTTGCATGGAATATCTTTTTCCATCCCCTCACTTTCAGTCTGTATGTGTCCCTAGGTCTGAAGTGGGTCTCTTGTGGACAGCATATATACAGGTCTTGTTTTTGTATCCATTCAGCCAGTCTATGTCTTTTGGTTGGAGCATTTAATCCATTTACATGTAAGGTAATTATCGACATGTATGTTTCTATTACCATTATCTTAATTGTTTTGGGTGTGTTTTTGTAGGTGTTTTCCTTCTCTTGTGTTTCCTGCCTAGAGAAGTTCCTTTAGCAGTTGTTGTAAAGCTGGTTTGGTGGTGCTGAATTCTCTTAGCTTTTGCTTGTCTGTAAAGGTTTTATTTTCTCCATCAAATCTAAATGAGATCCTTGCTGGGTAGAGTAATCTTGGTTGTAGGTTTTTCCCTTTCATCACTTTAAATATGTCCTGCCACTCCCTTCTGGCTTGCAAAGTTTCTGCTGAAAAATCAGCTGTTAACCTTATGGGGATTCCCTTGTATGTTATTTGTTGTTTTTCCCTTGCTGCTTTTAATATTTTTTCTTTGTATTTAATTTTTGATACTTTGATTAATATGTGTCTTGGTGTGTTTCTCCTTGGATTTATCCCGTATGGGACTGTCTGTGCTTCCTGGACTTGATTGACTTTCCTTTCCCAAGTTAGGGAAGTTTTCAACTATAATCTCTTCAAATATTTTCTCAGACCCTTTCTTCTTCTGTTTTTCTTCTGGGACCCTTATAATTCGAATGTTGGTGCATTTAATGTTGTCCCAGAGGTCTCTGAGACTGTCCTCAATTCTTTTCATTCTTTTTTTCTTTTTTCTTTATTCTGCTCTGCAGTAGTTATTTCCACTATTTCATCTTCCCGGTCACTTATCTGTTCTTCTGCCTCCGTTATTCTTCTATTGATTCCTTCTAGAGAATTTTTAATTTCATTTATTGTGTTGTCATCATTGTTTGTTTTTCTCTTTAGTTGTTATAGGTCCTTGTTAAACATTTCTTGTATTTTCTCCATTCAATTTCCAAGATTTTGGATCATCTTTACTATCATTACTCTGCATTCTTTTTCAGGTAGACTGTCTATTTCCTCTTCATTTGTTTGGTCTGGTGGGTTTTTACCTTCCTCCTTCATCTGCTGCATATTTCTCTGTCTTCTCATTTTGTTTAAGTTACTGTGTTTGGGGTTTCCTTTTCGCAGGCTGCAGGTTCGTAGTTCCCGTTGTTTTTGGTGTCTGCCCCCAGTGGGTGAGGTTGGTTCAGTGGCTTGTGTAGGCTTCCTGGTGGAAGGGACTGGTGCCTGTGTTCTGGTGGGTGGGGCTGGATGTTGACCTTCTGGTGGTCAGGGCCGTGTCCAGCGGTATGTTTTGGGGTGTCAGTGAACTTAGTATGACTTGTAGGCAACCTCGCTGCTAATGGGTGGGGTTGTATTCCTGTCTAGCTGCTCGTTGTTTTGCATGGGGCATCCAGCACTGGAGTTTGCTAGCCACTGGTTGGAGCTGGTCTTAGTGTTGAGACGGAGGTCTCTGGAAGAGCTCTTGCTGATTGATATTATGTGGGGCTGGGAGGTCTCTGATGGTCCAATGTCCTGGACTCGGCTCTCCCACCTTGGAGGCTGAGTCTCAACACCAGGCCGGAGCACCAAGACCCTGCCAGCTGCACAGCTCAGGAGAAAAGGAAGAAAGAAACAAACATAAAAACGGACAGATACAACCTCAAACCAAATGGTAAAAGCAAAACTAAACAGACAGAGTCACACAAAGAGACGTACACACACACACTTGTAAAAAGAAAAAACAAACGAACACCAACAACAAAAACTTAAAAAAAAAAAAAGAACCCTATTACAAATGGTAAAAGCAAACCTAAATAGGCAAAATCACACAAAGAAACATACACACACCCCCACACACACACTCACAAAAAGAGAAAAAAGGGGAAAAAATTTTTTAAAAAAGGAAGAGAGCAACCAAACCAATAAACAAATCCACCGATGATAACAAGCACTAAGAGCTAAACTAAGATAAACACAAAACCAGAAACAAATCAGACGCAGAGACAGCAAACCCCAAGTCTACAGTTGCTCCCAAAGTCCACCGCCTCAGTTTTGGGATGATTTGTTGTCTATTCAGGTGTTCCACAGATGCAGGTACATCAAGTTGATTGTGGAGCTTTAATCCGCTGCTCCTGAGGCTGCTGGGAGAGATTTCCCTTTCTCTTCTTTGTTCTCACAGCTCCCGAGTTCAGCTTTGGTTTTGGCCCCGCCTCTGTGTGTAGGTCACCTGAGGGCGTCTGTTCCCCACCCAGCCAGGAGAGGGTTAAAGCAGAGGCTGATTAGGGCTCTCTTGCTCACTCAGGCTAGGGGGAGGGAGGGGTACAGTAGTCATAATTGGAATGCGGGGCGAGCCTGCAGCAGCAGAGGCCAGCATGACATTGCAACAGCCTGAGGTGTGCTGTGTGTTCTCTCAGGAAAATTGTCCCTGAATCATGGGACCCTGGCAGTGGTGGGCTGCACAGGCTTCCGGGGGTGTGTGTGTGGATAGTGACCTGTGCTTGCACACAGGCTTTTTGGCGGCAGCGTTAGTGGTCCATACCCATGTCTGAGGTCCGCACTGATCGCCACCGCTCGCACCCGTCTGTGGAGCTCGTTTAGGCGGTGCTCTGAATCCCCTCTTCTCAGGCACCCCGAAACAATGGTCTCTTGCCTCTTCAGCAGCTCCAGACTTTAACCCCGGACTCCATCCCGGCTAGCTGTGGCACCCCTTCAGGCTGTGTTCACGCAGCCAACCCCAGTCCTCTCCCTGGGATACGACCTCCGAAGCCCGAGCCTCAGCTCCCAGCCCCTGCCGGCCCCGGCGGGTGAGCAGACAAGCCTCTCGGGCTGGTGAGTGCCGGTCGGCACCGATCCTCTGTGCGGGAATCTCTCCGCTTTGCCCTCCGCACCCCTGTTGCTGTGCTCTCCTCCGTGGCTCCGAAGCTTCCCCCCCTCCGCCACCCGCAGTTTCCGCCCGCGAAGGGGCTTCTAGTGTGTGGAAACCTTTCCTCCTTCACGGCTCCCTCCCACTGGTGCAGGTTCCGTCCCTATTCTTTTGTCTCTGTTTTTTCTTTTTTCTTTTGCCCTACCCAGGTACATGGGGAGTTTCTTGCCTTTTGGGAGTCTGAGGTCTTCTGCCAGCATTCAGTAGATGTTCTGTAAGAGTTGTTCCACATGTAGATCTCCGCGTCTTACTCTTCCGCCATCTTGAAGGTCTCCTCAGTCTTACTCTTAGTATCATTTTTTCCAGAGCTTTTCTGAAGCTTCATTGTGCCTTTTTCATAGAAAGAAAATCATCAGTTCACAATACAGCCATCGTCACCTTGAGCTGTTTTTGTTCATCCTCTCTCATTTTGGAGTAATCTTGAAATCTTCCCTCCTATTAGACAGTTTTAGGAAATGTTTGGCTCTAGTTATTTATATTTTCAGTGGTAGAAATACTGCCTTAATGGTAGGAAAACTTCCTCATGGATAATAATGCCTTCCTCTTGAAGCATTACAAATTAGTAAGTGAATTATCCGTTGATTCGATAAATTTATTTTTTATTTACCAAAATAAATGCCTTTTAAAAAAACATTCATTCTTTGATCAGCTTAATGCAAAGCCTGTACCAGGCACTACAGAAGAGAGAACTGGAAGATAGTTCTGCACGGAAGATACGTCCTCTGTCTGCAGCGCTTGTCATAAAAGCAGAGAGCTTTTACCTACTGCATATTAGTAATAATAACGAGAACGTTCACATTACAGAGTTAAAAATCAACTTATAAGCCCAGTGTATCTGATTATTTCTAGCATGTTGGGAAAGTGAAGGTGATTCATTTGGTCAGAAGTCCCAGTGATCTCAGGGTCATTTCAGATTCCCTATGTGATCTTCCTCTTCTTGCTTGCCTTACTCTTTCGAGACAGCCACTGAGTGTGTTTCAAAAGGGATGTCCCCAAGGAAAAGGGACTCCCCTATTCCCAACCCTCAAGATGGACAGAACTGAAGTTAGGAAAAAGCCGATTTCCACGTGGATTTTAAAATATCA